GTTGAGCTATTTGAGAACATTTAAGCATTTTCAGCATTCCTCTAAATTTGCACGTATCTATAATTCAAGTATTGTTTGAAAAGTAGATCTGTCACCTGATGTGCAGGTGTCAGTAGTCACATGCTCAGGAGAGCGTGTAGTCAATCTGCAGTATTCCGCAAGCGTAAAACCTGGTTTCACCTCCCCATGAAGGGGTCTTTGGATCTTAGGATTACTTTTGACACAAAATTCACATTGTTGAGTAACGTTCCTAGTGATCAGCATCATGTTAATTCCTACAGCATATGTTTTTGCTGCTTCAATTATAGCTTCAGTTCCCATATTTGTCATCTTATGAGTTCACTCCATTAATTCTTTCATCATTTGCGGAGTTACAATACACTGTCCAACTGTAGTTACTCATTGTTCTTCAGCATTCTTCGTGCATTTCAGTAGTTTAGCCAACTTCTTTTTTTTCTGTATATTTAGGGTTATCAATATTTAAAGTTCTTACTGTGTCTAAGGCTCCTACAGTTGTTGATAGAGCAGTTCTTTTTGTGGCTTCATGTGCTTTTCCATTTCCTCTAACTATATTGGTTTGTCCGGATTGATGTACTTCACAGTGTATCACTGCTATTTCTTTAGATTTATTAACTGCTTGAAGTAATTTCATAATCTCTGTACTACAGTGTATGGGATTTCCTTGTGAAGATAACAGTCATCTTTCTTTCTAAGTTGCACTATCAGCTTGTATTATTCCAAAAGCATATTTTGAGTCAGTATAGACATGAGCCTGCTTTCCTTCTGAGAGTTCCAGGGCTCGAGTTAAAGCAATTAATTAAGCTTTCTGAGCAGATGTGTTCACTGGAAGCAGTTTTGCCTCTATTTCCTCTTAGACTAACAGTGGTGTACCCAGCCTTCTGTTCTCCTTTCACGGCGGAGCTGCATCCATTAGTAAACAGCTCCCAGCTGGGATTCTGTTAAGGAGTAACCTTCAGTCTGAATAGCTGGAGTACACCTCTTTGATAGTTTGTAAACAATCATCTGCCAGTTATCTTTCATGTAAAGATAATAATGATGGTAGATTTGGGGCACTGGACACTTTGATTGCTATATCCTCTTGTTTGAGCAGTACTGCTTGGTATTGTGCCATCCTGCTTAGGAATAACCAATACTGTCCTTTCTGCTCCAGCACCATTGCAACAGCATGTGGTACACTAACAGTAATGTTTAGTCCCAAGGTCAATTTTCTTGCCTCTTATATTAACAGCACAGCAGACTGACCCTTGTATGTAGCCTCCTGTTCTCCTTGAGAGCCTTTTCCAGCACAGTTCTTTTTCTCTGGCAAAAACAAACTGTTCAACAGCACTTACACATCCCTTATCTGTAGTGTGATTTTCAACTATCATTTTAAAAGATCAGTATGTTTTTTATGGGTTTTCACAGTAGGGCCCAGCAGATTCTTTTCAGTTCATCAAATCTGAAGTAGAAAAAGGAACCTTGATGTGCCATTCTGGTTCTATTTTCTGTCACAGTGGTGCCAGTATTACAGGGTTCTGTCGTGCTCGATTTCTACATGCAGTAGGACTAAATTCTCTACTCCCTCCACTGCTGTTGCTTCTCTCAGTCATCAGTGATACATCTTCATCCCTTTTTTTTCTTCAATATTACAAGTAGAACAACATAGAGGTAATTTCTTTTTGTCATCCATTACCATTAAGACACTCAAGTTAGATAACAGCAGTTGACATTTTTTCCTTGTTTTGTGATCATTTCTCAAAGTGAAAAATCTGCATATGGGATGTCACCCTGATTATCCTACCTTCTACAAAACTTAATAATTTCCAAGATTGTATTATGATTTGAAGTCTGCATTCCTAGCCGTTTTTCTTCATCCTCCAATTTATACTGCAGCCACCATTGAGTACAGTATTCTCCTAATTTTCTCTGTTAGAGGATCCCCACCACCACACTTATCCCTGTGTTTCAGAATGTATGCTCATAGAGACCAATAGACTATAGACTGTCCTGTTCCCATACTGTTACTTAGAAAGAATGTTTTTACCACTTTCCTGCACTCCAGTTATCACTGTCCAAACATGCACAAAGCTTACAAAATACCTTTACCTATCATTACTATGCTCCATGCATTGTTTCTTTATCATGCACTGCACCTTAGAGTCACTTATCACTCCAGACAGGGAGATTACTCACAGAGTCTTCTGAACAATAGGTTGGTGCATGCTTGGAGTTCAGAGAACATTTTTTCCCCTCCAGCAGCCAGCAAGTCTATCCGGGCAAAGCTTCACAGCTGTCCCATCGGGGTCTCCAGAAAACTGCTGTGTGAAAAGTGCTTTCAGCACCTTGTGTGCAGTATGTCAATGAACACACACTCAAGAGAGACATTACTATTTTGCCTATGGATGTGATTTTTCCTATTATAATGAAGCTGGTTCAGCTAAGGATACATGGACCTTGAGTTTTCTTGCCAAGTTGGCAACATCCTCAGAGCATCCTGATTTATGTCCTCCTGAAGGCCTACTGGCTCTGGGATGTCTCTGCTTAAAGGATGCCAAGATGCCCAGTGTTTATTCTTCTGATACCTACTACAATGTTAGCTCAGTTTTTAGTAAGCTTTCAGTGCAAGTGATCACAGAAGTTACTTATGCAGTGTGAGCTTCCCAAATCTGATAAACCATCAGTTAAATGGTATTTAAGACTGTTTCTAAGAAGTATTTTGGAGACTCATCCACTTTTGATGCCTTCTAGGTGCGTAATCTCACTTACATGGTGACTCGACGGGAAAAAATCAAAAGATCTGTTTGCAAAGTTCAAGAGCAGATATTCAACATCTACGCAAAACAGTTGGAACAAGAAAGAGTTTCAGGTATGCTTCACCATTGTCTTTTTCACGTGACAACACAGGCATAGGCATTGAAATGCTTGGTTAGAGTCTAACAGCTGATTTTGAAGGACAAGCAAGGCCTCATTTATTCTCATTAGAATCATATGTAGTCCACCATGCATCAGCAGATTGAAAGAAGAAGATAAAAATTTGCATAGCTCTAATGGAGGGCACATTGCTATAGAAACTGGTAAGCCTGTGTTATCCTTGGGTTGCTGCTTCAGGTCCTGTCAGTTGTGATTCTTCAATGAGTCCTTTTGACAGAGAGACCATGACTTACATTCAAGTGCCATATGGTATCTGTTAGGTTTATGTTTTATTAATGCCCCTACGTTAGTATTTAGTGTGTGTTTCTTTGCATTGTAGGGTAGTTTGAAATGCCATACTTTTTCTGCCTAATCTCACTGTCCTCCTAGAGGACAAACTTCCGCGTTACTGTATTAACTTGGATTATCCTCAAAGTATTGAGTAACAAATTAATTTTAGATAGAATCAATCACATTGACTTACTGATGGCTTATTTTACCCCATCTGAGGAGTTTCTATGTCTTAATGCACATAACAGCACTAGGAATTGTATTTGCTACTGATACAATTGGGTGTAGGATGGCTATGGGGAAGACACCCCAGCACCAGCAGTGTGTTGTGAAACACCTCACACCAGCAGTGTGTTGTGAAACCAGGATGTAGCCACGTAGTCATGATGTAAAGGTGCTGGATAAGCAGCCAAATGCCCATTTAAACTGAAGAAACTTGTCTGGCAGAAGTAGTGTTAAAATATGTACTACTTAAAAGTGGTATTTGCCCAGACATGGATTGCTTGACTTTAACCTAATTTGTTTTTACCTTTAGGTGTGCCTTCTTCATTCTCCGCAATGGAAAACTCAGTGTTGTTCAATAGTCCATCTTTGGGTCCCAATGCCCCTAAGATAGAGGATTTGAAATGGCATTCAGCATTCTTCAGGAAACAAATGGGCACATCTCTAACACATTCTTTGAAAAAACCACATAAAAGAGACAGAGTAAATAACAGCTCTGGGAACAGTAGCAAATCCACGCTGAGGCAGCCCAGCCAAAGGGGAGATGGTGCAGCTCCAGGAAGCTTTTTAAATTTTGACAAGAGCTTTGCAGAAACACGGATTGTATCAGCACAGCAGAAAAATGGCATAGTTATGCCAGACCACAGAAAAAGAAGAGACAATCTTCCACAATGCGAGGTAATCAAGACAGAACTAAAGGAAAAAACTAAACAAAACCACAAACCACTGAGACCCACAGAACTCTCTCAGAGGCAATCAGAAAACAAAAGGGCTGTGAACCACTCCAGTGGTAGGTCAGCACCTGGCACACGGAGGGACATAGTGCCTAAATGCAATGGGGGTCTTGTCAAAATAAACTCCAATCAGACAGTAGTTAAAGTGCCTACGACACCCACGAGCCCAGTGAAAAACTGGGGCGGATTCCGAATTCCAAAGAAGGGGGAGAGGCAACAGCAAGGTGAGAGTCCAGAGGAGACCTGCCGCCAGAACTCCAGTTACCCCTACCTGGGCGTGGGCAGAGTTTCACCGAAGGATAGGGCAAAAAGCAAGCCGAAGCCTGACAGTGAGAATGATGGGTACATCCCTGATGCTGAAATGAGCGACTCTGAAAGCGAAGTAGCTGAAAAAAAGTGCAGACAGCAGAGGCTCAGCCCAAACAGCACTATCAGCAGAAGGACGGACATTATTAGGAGAAGCATCCTGGCATCCTGACCAGGCAGTGGGGCACCGTGGTCAGTGGTCACTGCCTACAAACCAACTTCACTTTATTTATTGGTGTGAGAGGGGAGAGTTCTTAGACATGGCTACAGACCGACAAATAGATAACCCGTTATTCCTGAGCTGTATAAACATGTTTACATACACTTAAAGCTGGATTTTTTTGGCCCCCCAACCCATTCCATGACCAGTTTGAATCTCTTTTATTTGCAACTTCCCTGAGTAAGCAGAGAATTGGCATCACTACTAAAACAGGATTTGTGATGAACACTAAAGTAAGTCACAAAATCATCTAGGGGGCTAGGGTGGGTAGTGGAGAATTAGGCAGCATCATCCCTTTTCGCTAAACTGCACTGTTAAAATTCTCTTCCCTTCCCCTGCTTTCTGAAAAAGCACAAGCTCTTAATTTAACTAGTGTGTATTGAATCAAAGATGGTTATTTATTTAACCATATTGCACTGCTACACCCTGCTACAAAAGGTCACTTGCCTTGGATGGTGGTAGGTCTTTGTCCTTTCTTTGCAGAATGTTTGTTGTTGCATTCGATTTGAGCACAATTGGCAGCTTAAAACCCTCCGTAAGCTCGAGAGTTGATGTGCAAGTACAAGACCGAGATGTTAAACTGGAAAAAAAAGAAGGGACAGGTCAGGGTTGCAGCTGCCTTACCCTGCAACAGCTTAAAAGTACTCAGACTGAGTGTGGAGAACAGGCTCCAGTGGCTTAGTTCTGAGAGAGGGGCCGGGCTCACAGGTTACTGTGCCCCGTAGAATAACCCGTCAGCATTTCGTTACCTGCCTCCCAAACACCTTGACAATTCAAGCAACAAAACGCTAAGGCACCAGTCAGTAAGATTTCCCAAAGCCCACCACATATGCACTAATGGTAACGTATTGGGAAAGCCCAGCTTATGACACTAAATGGTTACCTTAAAATGGACATAAGTATATATTTTTAAATAAAATGGAGAGGCAATAAATTGTGATTAGCTCTTTACAGTCAAATGAAGAAAAGTTATTCTATTCTGGACTAGATTTGATGGAAGAGGGAACTCGTATGCATACTTTTTTAATAATTGCAAATGGCAATAACAAGAAAGCTATGAGCAATAATATTAACAGTTCATTATGATACTTTTTTTGTAGAGTGCACATGTAACAGTGGATTCTTAGGAGCCTGTAAATTTTGGAATTCTGCGTAGATTTAACTTAGGTATGCACTGGTGAAACGAAGGTTTCAGCTGCAATGTGTTAGAGAAACACAGGCATAAAGAACAACAGCCCAGCCTGCTGTTAACCACGCTCACTTGCGTTTTATTGTTAGACCCTTGCCTCTCGAGCAGGGAAGATTTTAAAGTACAGTAGAACTCTGCCGTAACTGAGTCTTCCAGAGGATTCAATCAGAAAAAGGCTTATTAACACCCTGTCTTGCTATGCAAGTTGTAACTACTTAAATATTGCAACAGAATGTATCCCTGTCGTTTATGTTTTAAAACTCGGAAGTCTCAACCTTTTGGTATCTTCTGGGGTGATGCTGAGAAAAGGAAGTTTGGTTTAACACGGTGTTTTTCTAAAAGACCATTACTGGACCCAGGAATTTGGATTGACCTCATGACTTGCACAGATTGAAGCCCAACAGGGCAGTGGTGAATGTGACATTACGTAGTTTCTTTTGGGATCCGTTAAAATAGAAGTACAAAAAGCAGCTGACAGACAGAAGGTAACTGCAGGTAGCTCTACCTTACATACAGCTACACGTTTAAGGCAGGCATTGTTTCGGTAAGAAGCTCACGACCGCGTGGGGAATTCTTCAAGCCATAGATGGAATAATCTAAATTCTGATTCTAGCGTGTAACCTCGCTCCAGTATGAAAGAGGTACCTTGTGAATTTGCACTATTCTGATTGCTAATGTTGTGCAGAATGAATGCCTTACCTGTTTTGCTCCCCGATGTTTAGGTTTATAAGCTTTCTAATGTTTCGAGTTACGCTGAACCAAAACCAAAAAGCGCTTCCCCCAGCCCCATTCCAAGGGCAGTCGGATGGCTGCGGGATGGCCAGCTCGGTAGGATAGCTGCGTCCCGTGCGCAGCGCTCAGCAGGAGGTGGCAGAGGTACAGCAGTGACCATACAGCACCCCCGTACTTGTTGGGATGGAACCATTTGCTGAACGTGTGTTCCTAGGCATTACCTTTACTTGTGCAGACTGACCAAGAGACCTTTGATGCTGATTTTCGAGGCGCGTCAGCCCTGGGCTGGTTGGACTTGCGTCAGCTGCCCGGAATGGCAGTCGCTAGGTTACGAACTCACGCGGATCTCAGTGAAGGGTTGGTTGTACGTGTTGTGCATCAGTCAGAATTGCGGAATCGGGACAAATGGTCGTTACGTTTGTAAAACCGTGTACAGAAGATTTTTCACTACGTGCCTGGCTTTGGTGTCCATTCGGCTGAAATTAATCGAGAAGGTGCATGAAGAGAAGCAGGTAGAAACAAAAAGTATATGTAGAGATGACTATTTTATATTACATGGCCCAATCCTGTATTTATTTCCCCCCTTTTTTGAAGTATTTATAAAGACCTAGTCGAAGACAGCTGTATTTTTTGTTAAGATATTCGGTAGAATTGTGCCTTTTTGTCCGTACGTGAATAAATGCTGTACATTTTTGCAGTACGCTCACAGCGGTGTTTAGAAGGCGCAGTGATTACCGAGGCGCCGTTCGGCACAAGCCGCTCCCGGCGGCTCGCTCAGCTCTGCCCCCCTGCGCTGCGGGGCGGCGATGTGCGCGCCTTCCGTTGGAGGCGGGGCGGCGCTCGGCGGAAGGGGCGGGACGGGAGCGGCGGGGCCGCTGTGGCCATGGCCGCCGTCGCGGAGGAGCTGCGGGAGCCGGAGCGGGACGGGGGCTGCGAGCACTACCGGCGGGGCTGCCTGCTGCGGGTGAGGCGGCGGCGGCGGCGGCGGGAGCGGGGAGGGGCGCGGCGCGGGGCCACGCGGGCGCTGAGCCGCGCCGTGGCGTTGCAGGCGCCGTGCTGCGGGAAGCTGTACCCCTGCCGGCTGTGCCACGACGGCGCCGAGGAGCACCGCCTGGACCGCTTCCGCGTGGCCGAGGTGCAGTGCACGCGCTGCCGCCTCCTGCAGAAGGTGCGCGGGGGCGTTGGGGCGCGGCCGCCAGAGGGCGGCGCCGCCATGTTGGGCGGGGGCAGGCGGCGCTCCGCTCCGCTAACCGCGGCGTCGCCCCCCCGTCCGCCGGCAGCCCCAGCGGTGCTGCGAGGGCTGCGGCAGCCTCTTCGGGGAGTACTACTGCGATGTGTGCCACCTCTTCGACCGCGACAAGAAGCAGTACCACTGCGGCGAGTGCGGCATCTGCAGGTGCGGCCCGGCGCCGGGGGTTGGTCGTGGCGGGGGAGTGGCGGCTGCTGAGCCGTGGTCGTTCCCTAGGATCGGCCCCAAGGACGACTTCTTCCACTGCGCCAAATGCAACCTGTGCCTGAGCCTGAGCCTGCGGGGGAAGCACAAGGTGAGGCGCGCCGGTTCGGGGCCTTGAGGAATAGAACGGCCGCGCGTTCCTTGGAACGGCTGCCGAGGAGCCGGGGCCGCGCGGGCGGCGGGAACGGCGGCTGCCGGCCTGCCTCACTGAACGGCGCGTCCGGGCCGCGCGGCTCGCGGCTTGGCTCGGCTCGGCTGGCACCTCTGCACCTCCCGGCCCTGAGCTGCCGCACGGGGCAGCTCTGGCAGTGTTCAGTGCTGTTCTGCCCCGTTGGTGTTATTCTTCACACAGGCGCCTGCTCGTCCTCAGAAAGTCAAACCTGTGTGAAAGCAGTCATGTTTCACACGTCTTCTCTTATCCATCCTAAAGGAATTCTTGAGTTTTTTTTTTTTTAAAAAAAAAAGCTGGTATCTGTACAGTAGTGTAACTTTGTCTTTGTCTTTGCCAAGTGCATCGAAAATGTCTCCAGGCAGGATTGTCCCATATGCTTGGAGGTGAGCTACTTTGCTTTTGGCTCTGGGAACTGTGTTGAGCTGTGCTGTGGGCTGTGTTGGAACTTAATGTTTTCTTTCTTTTGTCTGATACTTGTCTCAAAACAGGACATTCACACATCCCGTGTGGAAGCTCGCGTTCTGCCGTGCGGTCACCTGCTTCACAAGTAAAGCTTTGCAGATACTTGGGAATTGGGAATGCCTGCTGCCCTGCGTACGCGTGCTGGGTGTGCCTGGTTCCTGAGGGACCATGTGGTAGAGGATGGGCTCTGCTTCTTCAGGAAGTATTGCAAGAAGGGTGTTTTCCTTCTTCACCAGCAAATGGTGTTGGCAGAGGAAGATTTGCTCTGAATTTTTCCTGTGTTCAGCTTCCTTCTGTTGCAGCTCAGTGGCAGGAATCCCATAGCGATTCCCCCTCTTGGTGCAGAAAGCAGTTGCACAGTGTTTTTATGAGGCTGGTGCTAGTTTATGTATTAAGTTTTAAATTCTTTCCCTAGGCACTCTCAAGGCTGTAGAATACTGTGTTACTCTGCAAAATCTGCCTGCTTCATTGAGCTTGTGCAGTGATGCATAGTCCAGTGAGCCTTTGGAAGAATGGGTGGAGTAGGACTACCTGCTTCCCTTCCTCCTGATCCGCCTGTGACCTGAAGATGTCATTTTCCCTTCTTACTGTTTGTGTTGCTCTGTTTATCTCCCTTGTTTTTTTCCTGTGTGCTGAGCTAATGCCCTCCAGACTGAGTCTTCCCTTTGCTGCTGCCCGTTCTGAAGTTACCTTGTGATGCATCTTTTTTCACCAAACTCACACTGCCATATTCTTGTCTTGTTTACTTTCTCATGTTACTTAGAATGGAATCAGGTACGCTTTGTCGCTGCATGTTTGCCTGCACACCAGATGATTTGGAGGGGAAGCTTTCTTTTCACTTGGACTCAGGATATTTTTTAACTGATGTTCTGGGGATAGCTATGAATCTTCCCCCTTTGTTCAATCCAGATGTGTTACTGATCAGTAACAGTTCTTACTGAACTTCTTGTGTTTTCTTTCCAGAACATGTTATGAAGAGATGTTAAAAGAGTAAGTAGTTCTAAACCTCTCTTGTGTGGTTGTAATCTGAGTAGATTATTGAGGCAATGATCACAGTGTCATTCCAGTACCCAGTAACTTTAGGACAGCTCCTAAAGGGAAAGGAGGCTTTTAATTCCCAGCTCTGATTGAAGGAATGTTTCTGCTTGCTGTGTTTTTCTCTGATTTGTATGATGAGAAACTTGTCCTTTTGAGTGAATTTGTTCTGTGATCCTACTCCATTTTCTGAATACGGCTTTTTCCCCTTTTTGCCAGAGGCTACAGGTGTCCTTTGTGCATGCACTCTGCTTTAGATATGAGAAGGTACTGGCGTCAGCTGGATGATGAAGTAGCACAAACTCCTATGCCCACAGAGTATCAGAACATGATGGTGGAGGTAAGAGATGAGGCGGGTGCTGATGCCTCTGCTCTTGGCAGCTCTGCAGCACACCATTGCTGGCAGTAGAGAGCGCTAGGAACTCATCCTGCATTAGGAGCCAGTCTGACTGCTAGGGATTGTTGAAGAAATGTCATGTGTCAACCTAAGGTGCTATCAATTGGATTTTAAAACATCAGCACCCTCTGCCCTACTGGGGGGGGGGGGGGGGGAAAGCAGCACGAAACAAAACAGCCAACAACAAAATAGAAGCAGAAAGTATCATAATATGACGCAGTGGAGAAATGGTTTGGTGTTTGGAAGTGTCATGCCTTCTTCTATGTTTGGTGCTGTCATAGCGAAAAACAGGAATATTTTGGAGCCTCACAGTCCAGAGTAACTGCTATTTTTTTCTGCAGAATACTCAGCTATTGTTTTGTGCAAAGCTTGCAAATGGAGATTAATTTCTGGTTCCATTTCTTCATGTGAAGTGGGTGCTGTTAGCTACTAAGACTAAATTAAACTGCTCTGGTTGATTTAGTGGCGTCTATTCCAATTTAGACAGCACATCCCACTGATTCCTGAAGTCAGGATACTGGGAGAGACATCATTGCTGCTTGTTCTGAGAAGGGTGTTTGCTTGACTGACCCTCACAGCAGCCTAGCTGATGCTGGCAGTTTAGTGGTTACTAAAAGCATAGCTGTAGAACGTTGTGTTGCATCAACAGGTCACTCAACAACCTCTTTCTCTCTCTCTCCTTTTCTGTGTACGTAGATTCTCTGTAATGATTGCAATTCCCGGTCTACAGTGCAGTTCCATCTCCTAGGGATGAAGTGTACAAACTGTGAATCGTACAATACTGCCCAAGATGGAAAATCTAAGCAGCCTGTGGAGTAGCAGTGCCTAAGCAACGTGCTGCATACGGCTGGACAAGGAAGACCCTACTGTGGAAGAGGCTATCTGTTAAAATAAATTGTCAGTAAACATTATTCAAAGGTGTCACAGCAACAGTGAAGATGTTCTAGTGGTTGTGCAAAGGAGTTCTGCAAGCATTGTCCCCCTCCCTTGTGCCTGGGGCACTGTGTTGTTGGGAAGCTCCCTGCCAAGTGGTGCAGTGCCCACCGAGGGCTGATCACTGGGAGCAGCACCTTGTAATGCCAGAGGAGGCAGCCTGGGAAAATAACCAGTAGATGCAAAATGGCAAAGTGCTGTGAGCCGCAGCTGTCAGAGCAGAGTGCTTTGTGGGGCCAGAGGTTGGGAGCTTAACATAGGGTGGAGGTGTAGCTGTTCTGCTCGCAGCTGTTAGGGAAAACCAGGAGCTTTGAGGGCAGCCTTTTGCATAAAGCTGACATCTGCAAAGTTTCGCATGAGTACATTTTGTTCCTTTGAAGTGATGTATTTGTTCTAGGGCCTTGGAGGCAGCAGTGCGAGCAGGCAGAAAGGGTTGAGCTTGCAGAAATCACGTACCTTAGTTTGATTTGTCGACATGCACGCAAATGATGGATGCAGAATTCATATCAAAAGCAGTGCCTGTCTGGGCAGCCCTTGTGCTGAACAGCCTACAAACCACGCTGCAGGGCTGCCCTCCGCAGGTACCACCGCTCCATGTGTCTCTTCACTCTTGATTCCTTTGCCAGCCATGGTTGCATTTACAATGCTTTGATGTTTTTTTCTTCTCTATCGCATTGTTGTCTTACAAAGGCCTGGGCATTCTAGCAGAGCTTGATGGTTTGATAGTTAAGTACAGGCAGCGTTGTGTCAGGTCAGCTGTCCCACCCAAGTCTGGGACATGTGCTGAAAGAGCTGCAGTTGGTAGAGGTGCTCACGTAGCACAGGGACCAGGTTTCTGCAGTCTCATTTTGTTTTGCTTTTTTTTAGTGGTCTCTGATTTCAGTGTGAGCAGAGAAGCTAGGACCTAGAAGTGTTATTTATCCCCTCTTGTGTGTGATATGCTGCCTGGTGTTCTGCAGACTGAACTCCAGTTCTTAGAGAATGTCAGAATGCACAGTGTCCAAACCGCACGAAATGCGCTAAGAAGTGACTCCTTGTCTGTGCCTCACCCTGTTGTAGAGCACCGCTTTCTCCCACTCTGAGCCCTTGCAGTTAGAAGCACTAGGAGGCAAATGTTGGCAGCACTGCAGCTCACTTTCACTGCCCTATCTTCTGCAGCACTTTTCTCACTGTTAAAAATAAATGTCAAACAGTTCTTTATTAAAACAACTTATGCAGCGTGGTGCTGTCGCTTCCTATGTGCATACCTCCTAGAAATACTCAGGTGAGCTCAAACCAGGGCTCAGTGCTGTTCCCACCTGCCACGCTGATGCTGTGCAGAGGGGCTCTCTTGCACGGAGGAACTTCCGGAGAGCAGCAGACACCACCATGTGTGCGCTCCAGCTCTGCAGAGCTGCAGGATGGCACTTGCAGAAAGCGAGTTGTGAGTTTTGTCTCTGCAATGGCACTGCCTGCAGCCTGCTGGGAAAATGAGTGCAGTCAGCCAGCAGCAGCGCGGGAGGCTGCACTGAGCCAGAGTGCGGGGAGCACGTGTCACCCCCCTGAGTCATGGTGACTCCATCAAAACAAGCAGCAGCTGCTGCCAAGCGAGCAGCAAATTAACCGTGGCCTGCCATGGGTAGATCTGATTAAAATGGATACCAGAGCCTCTCGTGCCACTGAGTGAGCTGTGCTGAGATGACAGTGGCAACTGAGGCTGGCTGTATTTGGGACTGAGGGTGCTGCCTGCCCTCCTGCCCCAGTCCTGCTTGTCCGCTCCCTGCCCCAGCAGGGGTACCAGCAGCACGCTGGGTGCATTAGGCTAGGATGTCAGGAGGCCCCTGATGGATTCTGACCCAGCAGTTGCCATCCCCACTGAGACTTCTGCTAGCAGTAAGTGCATTTGGGTAGGAAAGTGGAGGCAGCATAGGGATGTGCTCGTGTGCTCAGGCATACAGCACAGCTAGGAGAGGGAATAAAGAACAAATTCCTTATTCTAGTAAATATCGGGACAAAAAGCAGAGCAGAAAAACCCTGCAAGCCAGGGAGAACCAGATGCAGCCACTTCTTTGTTACCTCCGTGCAATGTGTTTTTAAAGAGCTGCAATGCTCCAGGGCAGCTGCAGGGCATGAACAGTGGAGGCTCTGCTGGCAGGGGCTGAGCAGTACCTGTGTGCACTGCTGGTGGGGACTGCACTGCATGCACTGCTGGTGCCTTGCAGAGGTCAAGGCTGGATTGATGCACGTCTCCCAGCTCTCATTTCCATAATGTTTTGCTCATTACCAGCAAACTATTTCCTGTTTTTTTTCTCTGCAAAAACTATTAGGTAAATGAAGTGATGGTGTATCAGAGTGCAGATGTGAAGCACCCAGCAGAAAGCTCAATAGCTGAATAGTCTTTGACTGTATTGCTAAAGCTAAAATGATGCTGGTCAAGTCCACAGCCAGGCAGATTTTATGCTAAATTCTATGCTAATTTTACTGCTAAATTTACTGCAGCTGGACATGTTCTTATGGGGTTTCAATTGCAAGACTAGCATGAAAGAAGGCCCTTGGTTCAGCTAAGCCTGGGGACTGCTGCTCCATCCAGCTGTACTTCTGCGTGAGGCTGAGAATTAAAATGTCACTGACTCCAAACCTTTCCTCTCTTGCTTTTGTATTTGCTGCTGCTCTAGCAAGGGGGTCTCTTTCCTCTTGTTTCAATCTGGGGTGGGCGTGCTGCACTCAGCCACTCTGATCTGAGGGTAGCTGGGGTCTTAAACCATGAACATTGGGAATACAGTGTCAGGAGCTGGACCTGTGCACTGAACATGGCACAGAACCCTCACCTCTGCCAGGGACACGTGTTGCACAGCAGAAAGCAAATGGCCTTGGGATGGAGACAAATGTGGTGGAGTAAGGTGGGTGAGGAGCTTGTTTGGGGAGGAAGAGGCTGCAGAAAGAGCTGCCCTCTCACACAGAGCTGCTAGACGAGGGATCCTTTTGTAGGATGATGACAGCCAAATCCTACATGCTGTCACAGTCCTGGGGTTGGTCCTCTCATGCTGGGGAAGTGGAGGAAGGCAGGGATGAACAGATTGGCAACTGCTTTGTGTTGAAGCCACCTCGAGACCGAATGCTCTCCCTGGTGCACAGTGAAATGAGGACCAGATGGGGTGGTTGCTGCTGGTGGGAAAAACTCCACATTCCAGCAGGCTGGGGATGCAAACAAGGTCAGAAAGCTATTAATAAAGCTAAGGCCTGCTGAGGAATGTGAAACACGGGGCGGGGATCTATGAGCAGAGCACTGTGGCTCCATGGGCTCTTCCCATGAGCTGGATGGGGGCAGCAGTATCTCTGAGGCTGTGATGCTGCCCCTCTGTACAGATGCCCTCTATCCTTCTTCTGCAACTGGACTGAATGCAATTAGCAAAGCGCTCCGAGTGTCCTTCTTGGCTGGGCTCTATTTATGACTGAGCCCTGCCAGAGCATCAGTCTGTTGGTCTGTCTTGCAGCAGGATGCCTGCGTGCCTCCCTGGTGGTGCTGGAAATGGGATAATTTCCCTGTTTTTTCTCCTTGATGGTCTCGCCATGGTGTTGGGGGGGGAGGGAGCTGCACGTGGGACTTGCGGCTCTTTTCCTGGTTGTGCTGGCACGTGGCTTCGTTTTTCTGAGCAGAACAAGAAGCTGAGCCCTTGGAGCTGTTTAGAGCTGCTCACGAGGGGCAGGGGCTTTTGGTGGAGGTGAGGGGATCTGGGGTGGACATCAGGAAGCCGCTTGCTGGTGGTGGAGTCCAAGCGAAGCTCAGACTTTCACCTACTCTGAGCACGAGGTGATGCGGGACCAGGGCAGCGGCCAGGACAGGAACAGCTCTGCAGTCCTGAACACGTGCTGGTTTCTGCTGAACCAAGCTGGAGATGAACAAACAAAAAAAGGCTAAAAATATCAATGCACGAATGTTTCTGCAGCATCCAGGAGCACAGTTGGGCTGGAGGCCAGGTTTTTGTTGGAAGTTGTTGTGAGCCTTGAGAGCTGAAGGAGAAAGGGCTTCCCTGCGCCTTCGCGTGAGGACAGCTTGAGAAATGACCTTTAAATGACAGCTGAGGATGACAGCAACACAGTGGCATGAGCCAGATGAGCTATGGGAATAAATTTCATGACCCTTTGCTCTCGTGTTGTGATTTTTGTGGTGTTTTTTGGTTCAAAGTAACAGTTTGATGCTGGAGCTGTTGGAACACATTGTGAGCTGTAGAAACCATCCTGATGATTGGACTTTGATGGTCTTGGAGGTACTATCCAACCCAAATGCTTCTATGATTCTGCACAGGGCAACATCAAGCTGAGGCTGTCAGCTCTATCCAAGTCGCTGCGTGCTTACCATGGCATTTGTGCCATCGGTGGAGATGGCCCCTGGATTGTAAGCAAGCTGCTCTCACCTGAGCGTTAATTACCTCATCTAACAAATTATTGTAGCCAGCATCTGTCTCAACTGGTGACTGACATACACCGTTAACCCCACTAAGAGTCTGACACGGTGGTGCTCGCTGGATGGCCACGAGCGCCATTGTTTCAAAGGGAGGGGAACTAAAGCTCAGTGGGGTGGGACGGAGCAGCGGCAGCGACGCTGGCACGATGGCCTCCTCAGTGCCTCTCTGGGCAGGGCGAGCAGGGGACCTGCAGAGGGATGTGTCCTCAGTGCTGCTGTGGGTACGCGCTGTGCTGAGCGCAGCTATGCCGGCTATTTATTTTTGAATAAATAAAGTATCTCAGAGATGGGGAATCTGGCCAAAAAGGGGGAGGGGGAAGCTTTTGGAAAAATCAAGAGGCTGCTGCTGTTTTTGTAAATACATATATACATTTCTAAAGCGGGATATCTATGCCACAAGCTTGTTTTTAAAGAAAAAAAGTTTCTAAGGCATGTCCTGGCTGTTTGTTTTTTTCCCTTTGCGTTGCCATTGTGCCCTGGGAGGCTGTGGGGCACGGCCACAGGCAGTGCTGGAGGCCCTTGCCTCTACAGCAGTCCCTCTCAGAGGCTGCTCCCATGACGAGTCACCATCATCAAGCAGTTCAGCTGGCTCGGAGTGGGCCCTGACTGGGACATGGCACCCAGGTCACAGAGGGACACGGCCCTGCTGCCTCCCCCAGGGAACCTGGCAGGGTTTGTCTGTGCAGAGCTGCTCCAGTGAAGCTGGAGGAAATGAAATAATGTGAAGACATTAATTACTTTCCCTGTACTTCATCACGAAATCAAATCAAAGCCATAGCTGCTGAGTCATTTCTTTTATAGGGTTTTTTTTTTTTTAAGGCATGTAAAATGTATACAGACATTTGAATTAACAGGAGACCTTGGTGAGCCCAGTGCTAACTTCTGGAGATTTCAGCCCCCTAAGTTGGAAGCCAGTAACAAGTGTTATTAGGAGTGGCTGAGAGAACTGGGGCTGTTTAGTCTGGCTGAAGGGAGGTCTTATTGCTCTCTACCACTGCCTGCCAGGCTGTTGCAGCAAGGAGAGTGTCAGTCTGTTTTCTTAGGCAAAAAGCAATAGGACTTGAGGAAGCAGCCTCAAGTTGTGCTGGGGCGTTGGGGGTGGGTTAGACTGAATGTCAGGAAGAATTTCTCCATGATGAGGGCCAAGCACTAGAAGAGGCCACCCAGAATGGTTATGGAGTCCCCTTCCCTGGACGTGGCATTCAGAGGCATGTTTTGGTGATAGGACTCGGTAGGTCAGAATGATGCTCTTGAGAAGATCCAATGATTCTAGTAATTTACTTTTGGGCTGGGACACTTCTGGTCACGAGGCCAAGTAAATCCATATATCCCAGTTGCAGCATATTGCACTTTTTATAATAATCTGAGCAAAATGCAGGCATGATGGCCATTGACAGAGCACCGAAGTCCTCATTTTGGGACAGACAAACATCAGTGGGGCTGCATCTGTAGGAACTGAGGCAGAAGGCAGCCACTGTGGAAGGATTGCTCCTCCCACGTATCACCAGAGCTGGTAATTCCCACCTCTGCATTCTCTCCTCTCTCTTCCCCAGCCCCACTGAAGCAGACAACTGAGAATCAGGGCCATCTGGGAAAAAAGAAGTGGATTCTGTTATTAAGTAGTGGGGAGCCTCAGCATCCCAGGTGCAGGCAGGGTGACATTTTGGATTTGCACAGGTTCTACCCTGTATTGCTCATGAAAAGGAGCACTCCCTCCTGGGGTGCACCTGCTAGGAAGTATTTGAGCCTCTAAATATAAGCCCAGAACAGAGAATGTCCTGGGACCCACTGAAACAAATATTAAAGCAAACATAAAATACTGGAAAATACAAGAAAAAAATACAAGAAAGGAGAAACCCTGTCATAAAACTTGCCCTATATATTCCAAAAGTTTGGCTTTCCTCAGCTGGATGGATTTGAAGGTGTAGTTATCAGCAGATTTTTCTCCTGTTAACTCATCTGCTTTCTCCCAGAGCCAGCATGCTCCACCAAAGGATTGTGAGCTCGTTGTGGATCCATTTTCTAGCTGATGCTAGAAAAGGAAGTGAATGAACACTGCCTTCTCTGCGCAGGTTGTGGTCTTAATTATGGCTGTTTTCCCTTGATCATTCCCATCACCTTGGCTAGTTTTCTTGCTGTCATACCTGCTCCAAATCTGCTGTGCTCTTCAGCACAGGTGAAGAAGATTCCAGGTGCATGAGATATCTCAGATAAAGACAAACCTTAGGGCTCTGCAGCACTTTGATGACATTCTCTGCTCTATTTGCTGTTTCTAACCCATCTGCCTTAAAGAATGAGGAGCTGCTTGGTACCCACAGCTCATCTTCACTGGAGGGCAGCATCTGTGCTACCAAGCCCTGATGAGAGGCCTCCAGGCCTACACATTGAGGCACCTGATGAAGGCTCCTGAAAGCTGATTTAGTTTTCTCCATGAGCCCACCAGTGTGGGGCTGTGAAGGTGCTGTGGAGACTTTGTTGGGGAGAAGTGACCGCCGTCTTCCCAAAATAAGCCCCCTGCTCCAGCGTTCAGCCAGGTGCTCAAGCATCATGGCTAAAGGGAGGCTGGAGCTCCAGATCTGAGCACATACATGGGGCTTGCTCTGCCACAGAGCCAGCAGAGAAGTGTGGTCTTGCCCATCTCAGCTATCCCATGAATGGACAGCTTTGTGATGCTGGTCCCCAAAAAGTGAGGGGTTTGAACAGTGTTGCCAGCCCTCCTGCTTTTGTAGAAGGCTGTTGTACATTGCAGTATTTAAAGACGAAACCAATCATTAACCACACAACCCCCTTTTCTTCCTTTTTGGTGTGTGCATGTGTGCAATTAACTGTATGCATAAACTGGGGATAAAAATGGCTTCAGTGTATTTTAGAGGACAAGTGTTTCAAGGATGAAAAATAGTGCTGCAAAGCAAACAACTATGGATGCAGCAGTGGGGTGTTCCTTATCCCAGAAGTGCAGATGGGAAAGGCGCCTTTCCCGCAGGCTTCACACTTCTTTTGGGGAAAAAAGAAAAGGAGGAAAAGTGAAATGACATGCTTCTGTGCATAAACACACCAAAGGAAACAGCAGGAGAGTAAGCAGTCATGTAATTGCCCATGGCGCGCTACCACAGGCGAGGGAAGGCATAGGGTTTTGCAGTGGGACAATGCAGAGAGGTGATCTTGGAGGGAGGGGCACGTAAAGCAATGGGACGCTCCATGTTCTTTCCAGGGATAACGCAGGGCTGCTGTCTTCTGCCTTTGCCTCCCCCAGCCCTCCCAAAGGGAATTTGGATTTACTGGGCTTTGTAAAGCAAAGGGGCAGACCTGCCCCACATCCCCCTCCACCTCCAAAGCAGCACCCACCCCATGTTATCAGAGAGCTTCCCATGCAAAGCGCCAACACTCGGGTTTATCGTGGGCGCTGTGCACCTGCCCTGCGGCCAGCCGCCTCCTGCTGGGCCTGCCACAATGTGCTGCTGCTCATGGTGGCAGCTTGGCCTCCAGGCTGCGGCCCAGCACGTGTGGCGGGGACAAGCAGCAGGTGCGTGCTGGGGAAGCGCTGATAAATAAGGATCTTCTCCTGCTAGGAGTCATCGTAGAGGGGGTTGTTGTAGTTCCCCCAGGAGCCGTAGTCATGGTCGTCCAGCAGCCTTCCATAGGAGGAATGCCTGTGGGGAACATGGCGCCATGTTAGCCTGCAGAAGGTGAAATGAGTCAGGCATGCTCACATAGAGAGCCAAAAAGATGTCATCAAAATCCTCAAAGCCTGTATGAGTTGTTCAGAGGGACAGGAAGAATGCTCAGTGCTTTGCCACTAAGCGTATGAGGAGGACAGCATGGAGCTTGTGGCATTTGCAGTGTGGGCAGCAAGGAGCTGGCCAATGCACAGCTGCAGGAGTCCTGTTTATTATTATTTTTTTAAACATGATGGCTGCTTTGGTGGTTTATTAGTTACTTTACTGTGGGGTAAAATGAAAAAAAAAAATGCACTTGGGCCTTCACCATGTCGTTTTTGCTTTTGTGTAGAAGGCAGTTGGCCACCAGCACATCCCACCTTGACCAACCGCCTACAGAACACACCAGAAATGGCACTGGAAAAGGATCATCGCCTCCCCATGACCCCCTGGAAGGGAGAATGAGCCCATGCCATGTTTTGGGGCACACCTAACAGTAAACAGGAAGGTTGGAATTAGGATGGGCTTAAGCCGTTCTGTGATTCCATGATTAACATGAGACTTGCTCATCTAGATCTTGTTGGGCCATGCTGCTGCTTATCACTGCAGGCACAGCAAGGTGCAAGGCAACAGCTCACCCTGGGGATAACTGCTGGTTATGGCTGCGTGCTGAGCAGCATCAGTGGCATTTGAGTGAGGCTTCTGTAAAGCAACAAAGAAAGCTCTGGCTTTCAATAGAAACATGATTCAAAAGACTGGGATTCAAGGCCCCGCAGAGGGCCAGCCTTACCTGATCTTGAGGTACGCCGCCGCCCCAAAGACCAGCACGACCACCACGATGACCGTCACAGTTATGGCCACGATGCTGCCTGCAGGGAGCACCAGAAAGGGCAGTGCTCAGATCCTGGTGCCAGTGCCAGATCCATGTCCTGCACAGGCATCCCTGTGACACTCCCTTCTGGAGGCTGCTGGACCCCACTATCTCTATGTGTTGCTCCCTTCCCATAACACAGGGCAGGTGGGTTTGGGATAAAAACAATGGTTGTTTTTCCACTACTGCAGACCTAGAAGCCCCAGAGCTGCCATTTATTTCTTGACCAGGAGCTTTAAATTCATTTCAGTCTGTGTTCTGGTAAAAAGGTTTTGGGGGGGTCTAGCGGCCTCCAGCAGAGATTTTACTGAGCTTTCCTTGCAAAATCCAGCCCTTGGGGTTGGACCTTGAAAGGCACATTCCAACTTAAACCATTCTACGAAATCTGGGCTTTCTCCTCAGTGTTCCTGCCAGCATCAGGCAGCACCAGATGCCAAACCAGGGCTGGAAGCCATCAAGGAAGAGGCTCTAGCCACCTCCACCTTCTGGCCCTTTAACCCATCTGGTCTCGCAGAGGACAGGTCAAAGCTAGCTTCATGCTATCTCCAGAAGGGAGAGAAGAAACATACACTGTCCCAACTCCTAACCCATGGTTGAGGCTTCCTCCCTTTCCTCCTTGAAATTTCAAGTCATCTTTGCAGCTCAGGGTTTTATTCACATCTGAGTGTTTGAGTGTGGGTATCCACAACCCCTTGCCTCTACAGATGACACAGATTCCTCCAAGGAGCACATCTTTTTTCTCAAAATACAGTGAAAGTGAAATTAAGTGAAAAATAACTGGAAAAATAAATTCTAACTGGCAAGAGCAGGAAAAAAAGTTACATATATATTGTATGTGTACAGAGAGGGGTGCTGCTCACCTGCACTCAAGGCATGTGGGACCTCTTCTATGGTGACACCAGTGGAGGGAGTGCTTTTGCCTTCTTCAGCCATGCCCTTGGTGGGGCTGGCCACAGTCACTGAGGGGGATGTTGGCTCCGTGGCCAGGCTTGATGCCACAGCCAGCGTCCCTGGGGAAGGGATGTCCTTCATCAGTGCTGGTGGCTGGGTGGGGATGGCTGGTGAGAGCAATGCTGTCCCAGGGGATGAGTGCAGGGTGCTGCTGTGAGGGGAGGAAGAAGAGAAGGATGCAGGCGTGCCCACAGGGCTGGGATTTGTCCCCAAATCTGTCGTGCCTCTCGCCATGCTGGAATGTGCTGTCCAAGGACTCAGGACTGTCTCCAAGGTTGGTGGCACCGAACTGGGGGCCACAGATGGGCCGTCTGCTGCAGTGACAGTGTTTGTGGGGCTGGAGGCAGGGGACAGCATGGCCATGGTGCTCCCATTGCGGCCACCCACCTCGGGGGACACTCCGTTACTGGTGGGTCCTGCAGCTGTCAGAGGTGTAGACTGGTGGGGAGCTGCTGTGGGGACAGATGTGCCCCCCGAGCCTGGCCCAGCTGATGTCCCCACCACTGGGAAGGGGGCAAGGGATGCTATGGGGTCATCACCGAGTCCTGGCAGGGAGAAAAACAAGCATTAGTAACTAGGAAATCTTTGTGAGGTCTCCGTGGCCATCAATGGTAATGGGGACTTCCTTCTCCACAGCTCCTAGAAACCCAAAGCCAGCCAAAATCACCGTCTGGAAGAAAATGGTGGAAAGGAGGGGATTCTTCTTGCTCACGTTCCCAGGGAGAGAGTTAGAGGCGGTCAGCACTTGGAACCCCCATCCCACATATCCCAGCCCATTTCCCTTCATGGCTCAGCTCCTATCCCAGGCTGGCACCCCTGTCCCCAACTCCCCTCAGAGCGGGCAGCAGCAAGCACCACACAGCTGGGAACTGTGACACAGGATGCCTCTTTCTTCCCTCACTGTTTCCTTGTGCATTCATTCATTCATCTCCATTTCTTAACATGAAGATGAGTCATTCTGTCCCCTGTCCCCACCAGTGGCTGCTGTTTTTTTCTTTTTCTCTTTTCTGTTCTCCACAGGGCCAAACTCAGCTCTGAGCCACCACTAGCAGCTCCATGGGCACAGCTAGGCTGGAGAAAGAGTGTGCCAGCAGCAAGTGACATCAGGGGGAATTTTTATTCCCATGCTCTTGCTTATGTATAATCCCACAGCATTCTAGCATGGAGCTACATGAGAACAGAGGACAAAAATCTCAGGACAATACTGATTTTTTCTTGCCACCTGGAAGGCCAATTCCCCCAAAGCTCTTTGCTGGTGGCACCAGGAGAGCTGGTTCCACACTCCAGGTGCCCCCAGCCACAACCTGGGAGAAGGTAGCCGCCCATTCCCATGGCCCACAGTGGGTGGCACCCAAAGGCCCCAGCTGGATTCACCAGGAGTGCTGAGCAGCAACACCTTTCCCAAGCAACAACTGCTGCCGAGGCAGCTGGGAGGATTCAGTGCTGCAAGCTGCATCACCACCAAGCCAGCATCCCTGTCAGCAGGCATTGTTAATTCCAAAACACAATCGCAGCAGCAGGCACATAAGCCTCTGCAAAGGAAAGTGTAGAACACGCATCCACCATTTTAAGAGCTCTGTACCAGTGGTGGCCAAAACTAGGGCAGAAAGCAGTTGCTAGGTGGTGTCTGAGGATGTGAACGTACTGACAACCTGAACCAAGCATCCCTTCACTCCTGGGATTCTTGAGATCAGGGCTGGGGCTGTACTTCAATTGCTTTGAAGTAATGCTTCCCACATATTTACTGGGGCACGTCAGCCGGGTGCAACTGGAACAGCAGGTTAAAGGCTGCCACCCCAGCTTCTCTCAAGATGTGTTGCTACTCCAACAAGACCCTCAGTGGGCTGATGGCACCCTGAGCACTTTCATGGAGAGGAGCAGCTCACTCCCTCCCTGGACCCCCTTCCTGCTTGCCTGAAGCCTCACTCTGAACACCAGCCAGATTTGTACTAAAGAGGCACTACTGTGAGGTAGTGTTTGCAGAGTTACCCCATGCACTTGAAGAAAGCCAACCCATGCTGAATGTCAGGGATGGATGGGCTCTTGCAGGAGAAGGATGCCTGCTCTTGTTAATCACCAAGGAGACCCGCGGTGGGACAGCTTCCCTCTCAGTCCCTGTAGATTCAGAAATTCAAAACACATCCTCACGCCGGCTTGGTTTTGGGGTTTACCCAGTGTCTGTGTGTCCTTCGGACCAGCAGCACCACCGTGGTCTGCCTGAATGTCTGGGGCAAACTGGTAGGGATCCTGCAGAGCTGGCAGCGCTGCTGGCTGGGATGAGTCAGAAAGTTTCCGATAATATCTACATGGCACAAGTGCAGCTGGCCTCACAGCCAGGTCTGGGTGCGTGCCTTGACTGGGCACTCATCCCCAGCAGGTCACAAGTCACAGGCATTGCCCAGGAGAGCTGAAGGCACCCTGCTGCCCTAGGATCCCACTGGCAATCTCGGGTCTTTCCAGATAAGCCACCATATCCCACAAAAGACAGCCCATCCTCCTGGTGCTGGGTGACATGCAGCAAGCCAGCTCCTCTATAAGCACATCTGAAAAGGTGAAGAAATGCTGAGGTGGTGGTTCCCTTGTTTGCTCAGCACCTGGGCTGCAACTGTGAGCAGTAGCCAGAAGAGTGCACTGGAATAAAGGATTAAAAAAACACCAGAGATCTTCCCTTCAGAGCACGTGACTTCAGAGGCAGGCAGGGGTTGTCAAAGCAACTGAAGGACATCAGTTATCAAAGGATACCACGCATAGCTCAACCCTGAGGAATTTGCCCATCTAATTCCCTTACAGCAGCAACTGCCTTGCAGGAATCTGGATGGGAGCAGAACGGGATGGGGAGCACCAGGTAGCGATGCACAAGCAGCGGCTTGGCACAACACCCTGCATCACCCACGTTCCAGCCCCACATGAGCTCTAAGTGGCCACTGGCATGGGTGGTCTTCTTGGAGAAGATGGGAAATGAGTGAGAAAAGCCCAAATCTCTCTAATACAAATGCTTTCATTTTCAAGAGCATTAAGTGCAATCACTTGGGACACCCCAGGGAACACCACCGAATGTGTGGATTGATTCCTACTGGCATGCTGCTGGCCCAGTTCCTCCATGGCAAGCAGAGGTGATGTCTCACCCTCACACAAGCTAAGCTCTGCTTTAGCAGCACATACCTAGCCTGGGCTGGGAGCCTCATTAGCAGTGCATTGCTCATCAGCACTCAGAACAGGCTGTTACACCAGCTGAGAGGCAGTGTGAAAACAAGAGAGCTCCAGCCCAAGAAAAATGAAATCAGACACAACAGCTGTGCTACAGCAAGACGGCACCTAGCAAGAGGTGGAAATGGTGCTCTCAACCAGCTTCCATTTGACATGCTGCACCTGATACAGCCACCAGAAGGTCCACCTGACCTAACCCGCATGGGGAATGCAGTCCTCACCCCACATTAACTCAGACCCATGGGGGGATGCTCCCTAGCCATCATGTTTTGCTATGTGCCTGTCTCAGGAGGTGAGTGGTACTGCTTTGGGGAATAGCGTGGCTTTCTTTCTTTTCCTTCCCAGCCGCTTGTCTTGGCTACAACAGCTTCCAAACTTAACCTAAACACCCTTTTTCTGGAAGATGGGAATGCAGCAAAGAGCAATGAATAAGTTCACCCAAGAGAGCTCTCTTGGCTGTCCAGAGCACACCTATTTCATGCAGCAGTGTAGCCAATGTAGCCAACGTAGGTGCCACTTCCCATCCCAGCAGCTGCTACTGGATAGGTACAAATAGGAACACATGGGTAAGACACAGCATGAGATTTTTTTGCTCGTAGATCTGTGTTTTTATTCTGTAAGCAAAAATTAAGGGCAACCTCAACAGCTGCAGGCAGGATCCCCCCCAGAGGCAGATGCTGCCCCAGCACCATGCACCACAGTGTGCTGGGGGCTATGAGTGAAGCCCTATTACAAAAGCTGCTGGCTGCAGCTGCTGGTGCTGCTGAGAGTATATGGTGAGCTTTATGGGTGATAAATTATAAATGCTGGCAGCGCTATGTGAAAATACATAGCTCGGGATGGTTTATTCATGCATTGTGTTTGGAGAAGCAGCTGACCCTTCTGAACCAGGAGTGCTTGCTCTGGATGAGGAGTTCAGTAGTTCCTTACCCACAGATACATGCTATGCAAGCTCTCAGCAGGAAGTGGTAGAATGACCCCTGACTCCCTTGCTCCTACAGCACGCAGTGCTTTATTGCTGTGTGGAACAGTAAAACACTATATACTTAAATATAGAGCAAGGGTTTCCTGCCTGTAACCTCGTTAGTTGAGCCTTCATATCTGTGGCCAATGCTTTCCTGTGCCGTTCTGCTGCTGCTTCTCCTTTTCTGCTGTCCCTTCTCCTTGCTTGTGGTCAGGCTACGGTGCTTTTGCTTTCCAGCCTGACACTGACAACCTGCAGCTGTGGTGCAGATCTCCCTTGTATGAGCACACACAGGCAGCGCTGGCTTCTGCCTGGATTCCTGCTTTTTCTGAGAGCACTAGGAGCTGGGCAGCCTCACCTCCTGCTACACAGCTAGGTCTTGCTGACAGCCCTACAACATCTGGGGAGGGCAGTGAGGGGAGGAGAAAGACAGGGTCCAATGTAAACGCAGTAACAAAGCTTTCAGTGAAAAAAAAAAAAATTGCCGGCACTCAGATCACATGTACCCTTGGTTGCTTTGACTTAATGGCTAGCTGGGCTGGCTTCCTGCACGGTCATTAAATGGGTTAAGCCTAATTGCTCCCAAGCCTGAAGCTTTCTGTAGTTCAAAGAAAAAGGCACGCAATGGAAACAAACAAGCTGTCTGTGTCCCTCACCTGCTCTCCTACGTCTGTCCCCTTGGGAGAGGCTGTCCTTGGCGTCCCTCTGCCTGCCTGGGTGCTGCCTGGGGACAAACCCAGAGGTTCAGAGCGCTCACTGTGGGGATATTTCCAACCCAGGGAGCAGCGGCTGCCTCCCTGTGGGCAGCCCGAGGAGCAATGAGGATGGAGGGATCCTCTGGCTCTTGTGGTCCCTGTCCCGCTGTGACAATGAGCGGTCGCACCTTTTGTGATGGGTGCTGTCATGGGGGAGCAGCAGCTGCAGGACAGATTCCCCCAGCAGGGTCAGAGTGACTGCAGAACTTTGCTTTGTGTTTTGCTGGTCCTGGGCTGTGATGAAGAAGGAAAAAGGTGCTGAGATGGGTCTGACAGGGCTTTGGTCTGGTGTCCCGCCTTCTGAGTAAAGGAATGGCAAAAACTTCCTCCTTCTTTTCTCAAATGCAGTGCGAGAGATGCTATTATCTCATTAGAGGGGCAGGAAAAAGCCTGATGATATTTGGTACTTGCCAAGCTGCGTTCGCTGTCACTAACTCCTGAAGAATGAGCATATTTAAATAAACTGTTGGTTGGGTTGGTTTTCTTTTGTTTTAAAGGTGGAAAAGTTCTGGGTTTTGTTTGGTTTTGTTTTTCTTGTAAATACTATTTCAGCGGAGAAAATAATAATAATATATATATATGGGAAGCATCCAAAAGATTCGTGCTCTTGTGCAAGCATCCCAAGAGGCACGGAGTAGGAATTTTCCCAGGTGTCTTCCATAGGGTCCCACCAATGCTGCCATGGGATGCCGTACTGGGAACAACTCGTCCCCAGCCTCAGCACTGCCAGCGGGCTCAGGTGGGACGCTCGGCTGGAGAAGTCCCAGGAACAGCTGACCCGCTCCGGGCCGTTTGGTCCCCGAATGGCTGAGTGCTCCCGCACCTCACCAAGCCGGGCACGGCTCGGTGCCACGGTGCCGCACGCAGCTCGGCGCTAAACGCTTCTTCGCCCAACGCGTTCGTCCCTGTGCGGGGCTCGCAGCTCCGCCAGGCGCTTTCCTGCTCCCCGGGCTGCCCCCAAAGCCTCCCGAGGGCCAGGGATGCTCCCGGAGCGCGCCTCTGTGGGTACCCGCGGAGACGCGCGGCTCCGGGCTGGACGCATCCCAGCCGCCCCCGGGACCCGCGGCCAGGAGGGCCGCTTCCCACAGAGCCTCGGAGCGCCCCTCGCACAAGGGCGAGCTGCGCGGTGTCCCCCCGCGTTCCCCTCCCACGCGCGTCCCCGCCGCTCACCTGCGGGCAGGAGGAGGAGGAGGGCGAGGAGAAGGCGGCAGCAGCAACCCATGGTCCTGGCGGCGCGAGCAGCCGAGGACGGAGGGAGGGAGAGACGGAGGGAGGAGGCGGGGGGAGGCATCGCCCGCCCCGCTCCCCGCTCCCCGCCCCGCTCGCCGCCCGCAGCGGCACCGAGAGCGCAGCGGCACCTGCTGGCACCGGCACCGCGCAGCCATCGCTTCCCCCCCCCCTTCGGCGTCGCCCTGACTGCAAACCCCACGCGGTGACCGTGGGAAGCCTCGGAGACCTTTCCTGGGCACCGTCCTCTGGCTCCAGCTGCCGTCTGCACGGCCACCTCCAGGTCTCATTGGCATTGGCCGCTTCTGCGTGGTCACCTCACCTGGTGTCACTGGCACGGGTTTCACCCGCCTGGTCTCGTTGGCACGGTCATTAGCAACAGATTCTTTGGAACGTTTGATGCTTAAGAGGTTCTCTGACTTTTTTGTTTGGGGAATTTACCCGCCATCGGCTTCTCCTGACCTCCTGCACCTTCTCAGCTGGAAGACTCCTCCATCTCTGCGGGCAGAAGGGAATGGCCGAGATGCATCTGCCGTCTTAGCAGTGCCGCTGGCAAGGAAGGGTTCTGAGATCTGAAGAGGTGAAATAAAAAATGCTGAGGAGAAAGAGGATGCTAAAGAGGAAAAGAACACAGCCTGCTAAGCAGGAGGGACTGCTGAGTTTGGGGAGTTCTAGAAGTGGTGCACAAAAGAGGAATGGCGGAAAGAGCCGAGAAGCTCGGCCCTCGGGCGGTGTGCACGAGGCACGGTCAGATATCCGAGAGCCGATGTTTGGGAGACTGCAGGAACTACAGCATGCGGTAAATATAGGATATCCGAGCTGCTGTGCTGGAAATAGATAGGGTTCCCCCTAACGGAAGAGGGTGCTCACACCCCTGCTGCCCGGGGGCCCAAAGGCCCGTTCAGAGGGACCCGGGACGAGGCACACGCGGGCCGCCAGGGCCGCCCACCAGCCGGGCGTGTGCGGGAGCGGAGCTCCGGCGGGCGGCCAAGCGGGGCGGCTGCCAGCGCCGCGTTCACAGCCGCCATCCCGCGGCGTGAGGTCACCGTTTTCTTTCCAGCCCGTCATTCCTCCCCTTGAGCTCATGCGGGCGCGGACGAGCCGGGAGGCCGCCCCGGGGATGTGCCACCCTCTTGGCACCCGCAGCACCGCACGGCAGTCCGAGGCTCCGCGTGAGGGTGTTGGGGCGGGTGCGAACGAACCCCCTTTCCGTAGCGCTCGGGACACCCCGCACGGGGTGCGGGCGGGGAGATCCCCTCCGGGGGTCCCATCCGTGGGTTTCCGCGCCGCCGGGGGGAGCGGGAGGAGGAGGAGGAGGAGGAGGCAGAGCCGCTCCCGCCCCGCCCCGTCCCGTCCCGCCCCGCCGCGGCCGCCGGGCACCGGGCACCGGGCAGGCGGAGGCTGCGGCGCGCATGGAAGCGGCGGCGGTCCTGGTCCCGGGCGGTGGTCCCGGCCCCCTGCTGCTCTGCCTGGCCCTCGCCTCCGGTAAGCGGCGGCACCGCGGCCGCGCGGGGGAGTCCGTCCTGGCACGGGGCTCGCACGGTCCTGGAGTGCTCGTAGCCCGTGCTCCCCGTCCCGTCCCGTCCCATCCCGTTCTTCCCGGTGCCTACCCGTTGCCATCCCCGTGCCCCGCATGTCGTGTCTCGTGTTCCCTCCCGATCCCGTCCTGGTGCTCCCCGTGCTGAGTCCCTCGGGTTGAAACCTCCCTGGAGTGGGGATGGGACGCTTCTGCCACCCGGCAGCAGACCCTGCCCGCGGGCAGCCTCAGTGCTGGTGGACGTCTGGGTGCGCGGACATGTGGACGCGCGGACATGTGGATATATTTTGCCGTCCTAAGCAGCGCCAGCGATAGAGGATACTAGGCAGCGAGTGCCTGCCCCGCAGGTTCCCGCGTCGGAGCAAAGGTGCTCCTCCATAAAGAGCCGTCCTGCCCCAGAGCCTCCCTTACCAAGTCACTTGGTTTGGCTGCCTTCAGGAGCAGCACAGCCCCACTGCTGCCCATCACTCCACCTACTGCGTGGATTTCGGGCAGCAGGCAGCCCCCTGGGTCCCAGGCGTGCCCGTTGCCATGAGCAGCCCGGGGCTCGGCCCTTTGGCGGGGCTGCATCGTGCTCTGCCCAGCCCACACCCACACAGGGGAATGGTGCCCGACCTGTTTTGGGGCCGTGGTGCCCAGCACAGGAAGATGAGGACTGTGGGATCCAGCCTTGGAAGGACATCTGTGCTGGGTGGGCTGAGAGCTGGCTGCCAGAGACCCCACAGGGCTGCTATTACCCACATCATCCCCATGCCACCGCCCTGCTGAGGGGAGGCTGCCTGAGGGAGGCTTGCAGAAGGAGGGCAGCTGTGGCAGCCGTTTGCTGTGAGGGTGGGGAAGCTGCCCTGCTGGGGTCGTCTCGTGCTGGGGTGAAGTCAGCCCGCAGCTGGTGCTGGGGGGGCAGCCGGGCTTCAGCTCTCATGCTGGAGACTGCACCCAAGCTTATTGGCGCTCAGTCACACGACGTGTGCAGTTACAGCAGCGCTGCCTATATATAGCCTGGAGGGACACAGAGCCAGGAAAGGCTCTACTGCTGGCTGGGGGACTCAGGAGGTTGCCCACTTAGTCCCTCTGCCACTACCATGAGGCCCTGGCGGGCAGGCCAGGTGGCCAAGTGGCACAGCACACCCGCCCACTCTTCCCCACATGATGAGGATGTGCCCCTGGTGACATGCTGCCCTGGTAAGCACCGGCCCCACCAGCAGGACCTGTCCTGTGGGAACTGGGGCTGTGCTGGGTCATCACTGCTGAGATCTCGTTACTGCACCACCGTGCAAACCGCCCTAAGGCTGGGGCCAGGATGACTGTCCCTTTCCCATCTGAGCCCATGAAGTGGCACAATCGGGTTGAGTGCCTGGGTTTGCTTCATGATCGATGTCTCCCTGCAGCAGCAGCAGGGATGTCACAGCACCTGGTACAGGTGTGGTGACACCTGAAGCCACCAGGGCTGGTTTGCAGCTCAGTTACCTCCTCCCATCCCCAGCAGTTTTTGGACACCCATACTCTTCCAAAGGGGCCATCTGGCTACCTGGGGCTCTGCCAGCCATCCTCATATCCCCCAAACCCTTCCTGTTGGCTCCTGTCCCTCTGGATCCCCCAGGTCACACCACCACGGCATGGGCAGCGTGCAGGCTGCAATGGGCCATGGCTGGGCGCCCACAGGTAGGAAGCGGCATCCCTCCCTCCCTGCCTGGAGAAAAGCTGATGCTGGTGAGGCAAAAAGTCCCTTCCCGGTGGCTGCCAGTCTCCCCGTCCCTGCTCAGCTGCTCTCCTTCATTCCAGGCCTGGCGCTTTTCAGCTGCGTGGGTGCCGATGCCAACGTGACCGAGGGTCTGCCCTGCGAGGGCTGTGCAGGTGAGGAGGTGTGGGAGCGGAGCGGCAAGCTGCCGTGTTTTGTCTGGCGCAGAGGCCAGGTTCTGCTTATCAGCGCAGCGGCCCTGGGCCGGCGATGGCCAAGGTCGTGAGTCGGCAGGAGGCCATACTCAGGGTCCCCGCTGCATCCCATCCTGGTCCCTGCAGGTAACGTGACGCAGCTGCGGCGGCGGGGACACTTCTCCCGATGCCCCGAGGAGTACCGGCACTACTGCGTCAAGGGACGCTGCCGCTTCCTGGTGGCCGAGGCGGCTCCAGCCTGCATGTAAGTCGCCAGTGGAGGGGACGTGGTGGCATGGGGGAACGGCACGCTGCGGGGATGGGGCAGCAGGTGGTGCGACGGTTTTTAGAGCCCTGTTGTTGTCCCCCGCGCTGCGCGGCAGGTGCGAGCGAGGCTACACGGGGGCACGGTGTGAGCAGGTGGACATCTTTTACTTGCGAGGCGACCGGGGCCAGATCGTGGTCATCTCCCTCATCGCTGCCATCGTCACCCTCATCGTCTTTGTCGTCTGCGTCTGCCTCTGTGCTCAGTACGTGGGGCCGGGGCGGGAGCAGCGTGCGCGGCCCTTGGGCACGGCCAGGTGCCATTCGGTCTGAGCTGCTGGGAGGGGCGCGGGTCATCACCGATATCTCGTTCCGCTCATTTGTTTCATTCCGGTCCTCTCAAAAGCCACTGTCGGAAGCAGCGCAGGAAGAGGAAGGAAGAGGAGATGGAGACGCTGAACAAGAACGTGCCCTCGAGGAGCGAAGATGTGCTGGAGACGGACGTCGCGTGAAGGTGCGGGGGCTGGGGGGTCAGCGGGGATCCCCTAAGCCCCGACAGCTGCCCGCCAGGAACCTGCGGGCGGGTCCCGGCGCCGGCCGGGGGGGCGAGAGGTCGCGCTTGTCACGGTGCTAATAAAAGGGTGACCGAAAGCCCGCGCTTGTCTGCGTGTTGCAAGGTGTCCTCCCCCCCCGCCGTGCCCGCTTCCCCGTATGTTCCCCCCAACGCAGGGCAGGGCGGGACGCATCGCTCTTGGCACCGTCCCGCGCGACGGGGCTTCGGCGTAGGGGCGTTGTTGTGTCAAGCAGCGCCCGCCAGGGGGCGCCGCGGCGCAGGGCGAGACCGCCGCCGTTCCTTGGAGGCCTCAAGAGCCGGGGGCGCTGCGGGTCTCGGCGCAGCCGGAAGGTGGCGCTGCAGCGCAGCGCAGTTTCCGGCAGAGCTGGCGCGTGGCGCCCTGAGGCGCGAAAGGGACGGCAGCTGTGGGGCGGCCCCGTTGCCGTTCCTCCGAATTGCTCCCCCGCCCGTCCGCCGACGCGTCCTTCGGCACGGATCCTCACAGCTCGGCCTCGGGCTGGTGGCAAGAGGCAGCTCCTGGCTGGCGGTACAAAGTAAATCCCTCTCGAGGCCTGGCGCGGCCCCGAAGCCGCGCTTCCACCTGGCTCCCGCCTCCCGACACCAGCGGGGCTTCGGGAAATCCAGCAGCTCCTCGCCCTCCCTGCCGGGGGCTCCAGCCCGAGGTGCGCGGTGGGGCCCCGCCTTGCTGGAAGCACGGCTCCCGAGGGCTGGCACCTGCCCGCAGCCGTGTCCGCGTGCTCCAGTAGGGAGAGACCTGACTGTGCAGGATTTCGTTCTCCCATTGCAAACACCGCCTCGGCTACGTGCAGGGGACAGCCCAGCCCGCGCTCACCCTGCTCCTCACCTCCCTGAGGCACCGCAGGGGGCACGGACACCTCCGGCACCAGGTAACCACAGCCTGGGCTTCGCGCAAGCTATAAGTCGATTGCTGTCAGAATATTACAGTTCACAGTTGTACGCTGTACAGAAGCTAATTAGCTTGTATTCATTAATTAGCCTTGGATTTCTCCAGCTCATTTGCAGTTCCAGTTTATGGCGGTGTCTAGCCCAGGAAGTCTCTCGTTTATTGTATCCCCAGTTCATTTAATCTCCAGCTCGGTTTTCAGCTCTGGCTCATTACAATTGTAGGGGAATTGTCGGGACACAGCTTGAAGTCATGATTGTGCGCCTCGTGAAGGGGAGTAGCTGGCCCAGGGAGCACAGGCAAATTGTTTGCACGTGTGCTCCCCGTGTGACCAGGAGGGTGGAAGCATCCTGGGCTCACATAAGGGGCTCCTATAAGGGCCGGCTACTGAAGAGAGACTATCTCTTGGACTTGGGCTGTTTGCTGCAAAGGAGGGCTCTATAGTCAGAAAGCTCCTTCATCATTTGTGTGAGTTCAGCTCTTTTTTGGTATGTGACTATTGGTTTACCTCCAAATACTTTGCCTGGGATTGCCAAGAACCTGTTAGAAACAATTTTGCTTCTCTGTGAGTAGATCACAGCTTGTGCTTGTAAAAACAGCCTGGCTTTAGACAAGGTTATAAATAATCACTGTCACAACTTTAGTATGGTATGTCATAGTTGTATGTCATAAACTATAGGCTAGCTATTTTCATTTTAGATTTATTGATTAATCAGGCCTGGAAACATCCAGCTCCCAGCATCTACAATTCATTGGATGCCTCCAACTCACTGTAGTTCCAGCTCATTTCTGTGTCCAGGTAGTCATAGCTCACGCAATTAAAACTGTTTAAACAAGCTAGACTTTAGACAAGGTTGTAAATCAATCACTGTTGTAACTTGTTCTTTAATATTGAATGTCTTAGTTGTGTACTGTATAGATATTGACTAATTTAGTTTGTATTTGCAGGCTAATTAACCCTGGATGTCTTCAACTTGCTGCGTCTCTGGTTTATAGGCAGCTCTGTGCTGCTCTCCAGTTTGTTTGCAGCTCCAGCTTGTGGATATGTCTTGGAAATCTCCTAGACTTCTCCAGCTCTATTTTGGCTCCAGGTAACTACAGCTCGCACTTGTTAAAAGAGTCTGGGCTTTATACAAGGTCACAAATCAATTGCTGTCATAACTTGATTATTACTACTGAATGTCATAGTTGTACATTTTATAGATACAGACTAGTTTTTGCTTTTGCTGATTTATTAGTTGTGGCTGTTTCCAGCTCATCAGAGCTCATGCTTGCTCCAACAGTCTAGGCTTTAGACAAGGTCATACATCAATCACTGTCATAACTGTAACATTACATGTCATAGTTATACATTGTAAAATACTTAATCAATCAGTTCAACTGACTACTAAGTAGTCCTGGACACCTCTGGCTCCCTGCATCTACCATTAATTGGTGTGTCTGGTCCTAGCAGTCTCCAGCTTGCTGTGGCTCTGGCTCATTTGTTTCTAGCTCATGCTTGTTCCAGCAGTCTGGACTTTTTGAAAAGGCCATAAATCAGTCATTGTTATAATGTGAATACTAATACAAGCTGCCATGGTTTTCAAACTGTTGTACTACACAGCAGGCCCGTTGGTAACTATTCTGGGCATTGTTTAACATTTGAATAAGCAGTTGAGCTGAAAAGTCATGTTTTACCCAGAGAGTCTCACACGTCACGTGGGTTCAGCTCGCTGCACACCAGCACCCAGCTTTCTGGGGACCAACACAACCAGTGCTGTGCTTGAGAGCACCCTCCCTGCTGCTGTCTGCACCCAGCCAGCCCCGGGGCTTGGCTCAAGGCAGCAGGCCTGGGTTCTGTGTCTGAGCCCCCAAAACTGGCTCTGAGTTCCAAAAATAGGCCGCTTGGTCTCCGTTCTCAAGCTCCCACAGCATCCCACTGCGCTTGTTAGGGAGGCTGAAAAATGCGTGATGGGCTGCAGACTGTGGTCCAACAGCGGCCAAATGAGCCTGTTTTCAAGCCTCAGAAATGCAGGATTCCATCTCTGCTTTCAAGAGGTGTGAATGCACAGCTCGGTCACTCTCCCTGGGCCCCCAAACCAACCAAACGAGCCTCGGTTTGAGCCCCTGCAAGGCAAGAATTCGCCTCTGCAGCCGAGCCCCAAACCGCTCACCCAGCTGCGTTCTCTGCTCCCGAAGCCGTCACCGTGCGCACCGCTTCGCTTTTCTTTCTGCCCCGCGTCCGGCCCACGTGCGATGCCGAGGCGGGGAGCGCAGCCCCGGGCCCGCTGCCTTCATCCGCCGGCTCCGGCCGCTTCGCAGCCGCACCGGCAGCGCGGCGCCGCCCACGGCCGGAAGGGGAATGGAAGCAGGAGGGAAGATGGCGGCCGCGCCGCGCAGGCGCCCTGGGGTCTCAGCGCCAGTCCCGCGCCCCCGAGCCGCGTAATGGCGGCGGCTGGAAGGGCGAGTTAGGAGCCTCGTGGGTTAAACCCGGCGCAGCACTGGGCTTCAGGAAGCTCATTTTGCACACGGTTTGCAATCCTGACCCCTTCCCTTCGGGATCCCGTGGTGACTCCCTGCCTTTGCCTCTTGAGGCTGAGATGATGTCTCAGCACTTGTTCCTATCCTGTATGGTACAGCACAGAACAGCAATTACAACACACAAGGCAAAGGTTTGCCAGCATCACTGCATTTATTTTCCACTCTGGGTCACACCACGCTGATTCTAACACTGTATTGCTCTCCAAGCACTCGCTGATGTTTAGGCACTTTTTAAGAAAGGAAAAATTGATTTCCTACAACCCAGGAAAAATTTTCAGAGAGAAAGAGGTGAAATTTGCTCGTGTGATTAACTTGCACAGAAGAAGTGCTGGCAAGAGGCAAGGAATGGCTCCTCTGCTTCAGCTGCCAGCAGTTCATCTCCACACTTCAGCGCATTGTCACCAGCTCCTCTGCAGAGGTAGGGTGGATAGCAACTGTGTTGTCAAAGTCAGCCTTGGTGGCTCCCATTTTGATGGCCACAGCAAAGCCCTGCAGCATCTCGTCACAGCCCAGGCCTTGCATGTGCAGCCCCACCACCTTCCAGGAAGAAGCAGGAAGCCAGTATGAGACCAGAGTCACAGCCAGGAGTGCACACCACCACCACAACTGGTGGCCCCCACAGGGACAGCCACTGGTGTTCCCTGCAGCAAGATCCTATAAGGGGACCTGCACCTTCCTAGGTGGGGATACTACCATCCCCTTCCACACACCTTCTCCTCCTTGCCAGCGCAGACCAGCTTCATCACACACTTCACCTTCCTCTGCGTGACTGCATGGTACATGGGGGTGAATGACGTGGAGTAGATCTTCACGTTGTCCTTCCCATGCACAGCGATGGCTTCATCTGCAGCATAAAGCACTGCACATCAGTTTCCCTGGCCTGTTTCTCCACACGTGCACTGATTTAACACCTGCATGCCTCTCTGCAGGTTCTCCCACCCCTACCTTCTGTGAGGCCCACAGTTCCAATGGGTGGGTGGCTGAAGACGACAGTGGGGATGTTGCTGTAGTCAAGCCGGGCATATTGTTGGTTACCAAAGAGCCGAAGTGCCAGCTTTCTTCCAGCTGCAATGGCCACTAAGGAGAGGGACAGGGAATGTGAGGCATGGCTCTGCTAGAGGATGAGGGGATGGAGAGCACCAGTACGCACCTGGGGTCAGAAGGGTTTTGCCACAGACATCTCCGATGGCATAGATCCCTTTTCTGGTGGTGTTCTGGAACTCATCCACCACCACATGGTTCTGGGCATCCACTTTCACACCCTGCCAGGGGAACACCAGCCATGTCAGCACTTAGAACCTTGTGGTCCTCACAGCAATGTGAAGGTCCTTGGATGGAGGAACTGAGCCTGGCAGGAATGCACCAGACTTTTTATGGTTCCACATGGCACCAAGAAGCTTTGCAGCCCAAGGATGGCAATGCTTAAGGGGAAGGGGACACATTTCTGTCTCACCACATGCTCCAGACACAGCTCCTCCGTGTTCGGCTCCCGCCCAATGGCCCACAGAAGGCAGTCCACATCCTGGATCACCTTCACAGTTGGCTTGTGCCCAGGCTCAGAGGATGTCACCTTCACCTCCAGCAAGCCACTGGGGGACTTGGTGACAGCCTGGACCTGTGGGGACAACCAGGAGCCATGGTGGGATGGTGCTA